TCTACCCACACTTCTACTCCTGCCTACCACCAGCATCAAGAGATATAATGCCTTTGTGTCAGAAGCATCAGCACTGTACACATAAGCAAAGCCTTCAGGCCCACAGGGAGATACAAATCCAGAAGTGTCCACAGGCATCTCATCAGGTATATCAGAGGAGGACTCAGAGGTCAAGATTAGGAGGAAAGTCAGAGAACCCTGCTGGCTTTACCAGACACTGAGAATTGGGCCAGACACCTTCTAGACTAGAAAGTGGCTTTGTTGGTAAATTCCCTGGTGTTCATTTACCAAAAGAAAGAGCCCATCACAAAAACAGACATGATGAAGGATGCCCTAATAGAGTATAAGAAGCACTTCCTGAGATTCTCGGAAGAGCCTCTGAACTCGTGAAGCCAGTCTTTGGGGTTGAGGTCAAAGAGACCACTCCTGTGCCTTTGTCAGAAAACTGGACCTCACTTACAATGAGAGGCTGAGCTATGAAAGGGGCGTGGCTAAGATCAGCCTCCTGATGACTGTCCTGGGCCTGATATTCAGGAAGTGCAATTGCACCACTGAAGAGATATTTTGGAAAGAGCTGAATATAATGGACATATGTTCTAGGAAGAAGTACTTCATCTTTGAAAATCCCATGAAGCTCATCACCAGAGATATGGAGCAGAAAAGGTACCTGGAATACTGGCAGGAGCCCAATAGTGATCCTCCACACTATCAATTACTGTGGACTCCAAGAGCCCACACTGAAACCAGAAAGATGAAAATCCTGGGGTTTTGGGCTAAGGTCAAGATACTGTCCCTGTTGCCTTCCTATCCCATTATGAAGAGGCTTTGAGAGATGAGGAAGAGAGCCTCAGCCAGAGTTGAAGCCAGGACTGATACTAATGCCACAGCCAGGACATGTTCCACAGCTGTGTTCAGCAGCTCCTCCTACTCCTCTGAGGTAGATTGCTCAATTTGTGTTTGAAGTGGGCAGTGTTCTAAGTAATAAGAGGGTCAGGGTAGAGATAGAGGGTACACAGTGCATTTCTTCTTTGTTTTCCTTCTCTGTATAGGTAGTTTGTAGACTTATTTACCTATTGGTATTTTTCAAATGTTGTTCCTTTTAATAGAAGATTTATCTAGCTTCAGAAACTAAGTTTTTCAATGCCCATATTTATTATTGTTTAACAGGTTTAAGAATAAGAGTTTTGGTATTTAGTAAAACAGATTGAAAATCCTTAATTTTTTTTCCTGTAATATACACAGATAACATAGCAGTGTAATAAGTATTTTCTTGGAAATGTGAAAAAAACCTCACATTCAAATAGTTGAGATCATAAGATAGAGAAAAAATAAAAAAGATAAGAGGAGGTTAATTCTTAATTCGCCTTATTCCTCTAAGTATTTCTTTTTGTAAAATTAAAAGGTATATACCTGGATTAGTCTGGCTTACTAAATAATGTAGGATAAATTAAATTTTAATAATTTAGGTCTTATTCATCAGCTGTCTTATTCCCCAAATATTAATTAAACATTTGCTCTTTGGAACGCTCCATGTTAGCATTGGGGATGGCAAGAAAAAAATAAAAGATCAAGCTACTGTCCATATAATTTTAGAAATTAGGAGCAGCTATAATATAAAAAGATGGTGAAATTCTCAGATCTAAAGGACAAGGTTAAAAAAGAAAGGGGGGGGAGTAAGATAGGGAGGAGGTTCCAGATGAGAATGTGAAGTGTAAATGCTCTGAGACAAGGCAGTCTGAAGTCTTAGCAAACTGCAAGTCCCTCAGTGGGAGTGATTTGAAGTGAGGCCGCAGGGTGGGCTGAATGAGGCCTCGGGAGTGGTGAGCAGTAGCCAGAACCTCACAGGGGGTGTCTCAGAATTGAGAGACAAAGCTTGGAATGGGAAACAGTTCTTAACAGTTACTTTGGAATCATGGATAAACCACAGGGAATTTCCAACTGGAGCAGAAATGAAAGGGGTCCTGTGCTCTTGTCCTACCACAGTTGAACACAATGCACAAGCTAAGTGTTCTATGAACATCATCTCCAGGAAGTTTCTGAGAAATAAGGGTGATACTCCTTTAAGATGACGTGTTAAGAAGCCACTGGGCACTGGGCTGGGAGACCCAGAGTCTATTCCATTAAAGGGACATTCAAGCTAGGTTATTGTGTGCGTAATTTGACAAACTCCCCACAAGTTCTAGGTTTTTGGTGCTGGTTAAATTTAGGAAAATAAAGGTGATTTAGATGGAAGGGCCACTGGGAGGGAGGAAAATTGTTGGTCATTGACACGAATTTTAGGATCTTTGTGTTGCATCTAGTTGAGGAAGTCTACCTTACATTGAATAATATATCATGTAATGGGGAAATATTACTTAGTTTTCCTTGCTAATTCACATTTTGGCTTATGGGGTTTTCTTTGTTCTAGAATTCTGCATATTCTCTGACAACTGCTGGATTAAAAAAAAATAATCCCAGTAGGATGGGTGGTATCATTTAGGTTCATATTAATCATAGTAATAACTGTAATGTTGAAGTCTCAATGCACACCAAGCACTGTGCCAGGCACTTTACACACATTAACCACAAAACAGGACTTATCAAACCCATTTCACAGATGCAGAGCCTGAGGCTCACAGAGTTTGATAACATGCTCGAGTCCATATGCCTGGTGAGTGATGGGGCTGGATTAATCTAGAGCCCACACTGTTCTGTTCTTCCCAGTTTGAAGCCAACCTTGTGTCTCATAATTCAGTTTCCCTCTTTCTTTTCAAAATGTATCTAAGGCAATAAAAAGAAGGACTCCGTGCCCATACTGCTGGGTCATAATACATTCCCAGAGCAATGTGAATACCAAAATAATTTAGAGGCATGAATAAAGAAAAAAATAATACTTGGTGACAATATGATCATCTCCAAATGAAATGTCAGGTAATGTAAAAAAAATCAGAGGCTCCCAAAATCATCCCAGACAGCCCCTTCCCTGTAGAAAATAAATCTATCAGAACAGAATTTATATGAGACTCTAAGTATGGCCAGAAGGAAAAGATCAGCACGTTTTTTTCTCTGACAGCCCACCACCTGTCCTGGGGCCCCTGTCGTGTGCTTCAGTTTCTCCATCTTTCATCACTCCTGGGACGGGGACACCTTCTCTTCAAGGTTTGCAACAGAAAAACTGGCCATGTTTGCAGGTATGTGTCATTTCTCAGGAAGCCTTTAATCCAAAAGATAGGAGCCAAGATGACCACAAGGTCAAAGGACTTGGAAGACCTGCATCCCAGAATATAGGGTTCACACACAAATCGGCTCCCATCTGCTATCAGATGTAGATGTTTTCAGACAGAGCTGTCAGGCTGAGCATCACTCACTTAATCCTCAGGCTGTCAGGGACTTCAAATCTTTGGTCTAAGAAGGACAACCGCAGGCCAGTAGCGGGAGGAGTCCCAGTCTCTGATAGATATGAAGGTGAGGACCTTGAATGAGAATAATGAATAGACCCAGCCAGAACACTGGGGTGCTATAAAGTCCAGGTCAGGCTGTCAGCCTTTCAGGATCCAGAACAGTCCTGCCTGCACCATGACTTCCAATTCAGAGGTCCCCAAGAGATAAGTACCTTGATCTGATGGTAGCAGCCTCAGGACAGCAAAGAGTGGAGTACCCCAATACTGGTCAGGTTTCGAGGTGAGGACACTGAAGAAAAATGAGGGAATCACTCACCCCAGAACAGAGGTGCCCCACGAAATTCCCCAATGCTATTGGCCCTGGAATGCCCAGGACAGAGTTGGAGTTGTGAGATGGAGCAGGCCAGTCAATTTGCCAGCAGTGTCTCATAGAAGTTGAAGACCTTGGACTAGTGGGGAAGGTACCAAGTCTGCAGAAAGACAAAACTCAGACCCTAACAGAAGTCAAGGTGAGAACCTAAATGTTATGGAGCCAAACACGGCCCCATGCTGTTTTAAGCCCTGGGAGGCCCCCAAAGAGCCACCACTGAGGAGTCCTCTCATTTCATCTATATGGTCTCAGAAAGGGAAGGGTATTTGAAGAAGGTGGCCCCACTTCTGCAGGGGGAAGAGTTTTGGAAAAACCAGAGTCAAAGTGAGGAACCTGAGTGCTGAAGCGAGGACCTCTCCCCAAAAGAGGGCGGCTCACAAAGTCCCGCACCTGCTGTCAGGCCTCTGCAGCTCAGGCAGGGGTGGCTGTGTGTGGCGTGCCCAGATTTCCTCTCTAGGGACTCAGGGAGGTAAGGGCTTTGTTTGGAGGGTGGCGGACGCTGGTCACTAGAGGGAGGAATCCCAGGCTCCACTAAAATATCAAGGCAATGACCCTAAGTGTGGACCTAGGGACCACCGACTCCAGATCAGCAGGGCCCAAGGTGTTCCACCCCTGCTGTCAGCCCTGCGAGGCCCCGGGCAGCCAGAGCCGGATGAGGCTCACCCTTGTTTCCGCTTCTCTGAGAGACGGGGTGACTGAGAGGCGGGGTGTCGGAGAGGCGCCGCGTCTGAGAGGTGGGGTGTCAGAGAGGCGCCGCGTCTGAGAGACCAGGCGTCCAGTCTGTAGAAGGTGACTTCCCAGGACTGGTCTGGAGTGAAGGTGAGGACCCGAAATATGGACTGAGGGGACCAACACCCACCCACAATCAGGCAGGCCCTCAGTAAGTACCGTCCCTGTGGTCGGCCCTGGGAGGCCCTGGAAGGCAGGATGTGGCTCATCCTCACTTCCGCTTTTCTGAAAGGTGGGGTGTCTGAGAGGGCAGCGTCTGAGAGGCGGGATGTGAGCGGCACGGCATCTAAGAAGTAGGGGTGTCTGAGAGGCCAGGTATCCAGTGTGCAGAGAGTGACTTCCCAGTACTGATCCAGAGTCAAGGTGAAGACCCTAAATGTGGACTGAGGGGACCACCACCCACCCACAATCAGGTGGGCCCTCACTAAGTCCCGTCCCTGCAGTTGGCCCTGGGAGGCCCCGGCAGCCACAGCTGGATGTGGCTCACCCTTGTTTCCATTTTTCTAAAAGGTGTAGTGTGTGAGAAGTGGCGCGTCTGCGAGGTGGAGTCTGAGAGGCATGGCGTCTGAGAAGCGGGGCTTGTGAGAGGCCGGGTGTCCAGTCTGCAGAGTGTGACTTCCCAGGACTGGTCTGAGGTCAAGGTGAGGACCCTAAATTTGGACTGAGGGACCACCACCCACCCACAACCAGGCAGGCCCTCACTAAGTCTCGGTCCTGGGAAACCCCGGGAGGCTGGATGTAGCTCATGCTTGCTTTCGCTATGCTGAGTGGCGGCGTCTTAAGAGTCGTGCAGTCTGGTCTGCCGGGGGTAACTTTCCAGGCCTGGTCTTAGGTCAAGGCGAGGACCCTAAATGTGGACTGAGGGAACCACCACCCACCCACAATCAGGCAGGCCCTAACTAAGTCCCGTCCCTGAGGTCGGCCCTGTGAGGCTCTGGGACATGGGATGTGGCTCATCCTCGCTTCCAGTTTTCTGAGAGGCGCAGCGTCACAGAGGCCCCAGGAGGCCCCAGGAGGCCGGATGTGGCTAATCCTCGCTTCCGCTTTTCTGAGAGGCGGGGTGTCTGGGAGTCACAGAGTCTGGGAGTCGTGTAGTCCGGTCCATCAAGGGTGACTTCCCAGGACTGGTCTGAAGTCAAGGTGAGGACCCTGAATGTGGAATGAGATGACCACCGCTCACCCACAACAAACAGGGTCGCACTAAGTCTCACCCCTGCGGTCCGCCTTATGAGGTCCCGGGAGATCTGCCCAGCAGAGTTCTGCCTGAAAAGTCTCAGCAACTGGTGGGCCTTTATCTAAGGGAGTACCCCTGATTTTGCATAAGGAGGAGACCTAGGTCCTAACTAGAGTCAAGGTGAGGGCCCTGAGGGCTAAATGAGGGAATCTCTCCCTAGTGAATGTAACAAAGCAAAGCCGAGCCACTGCACTCGGTTCTGGGAGGCTCTGGTGTGTGGAGTTACTGACTTTCCTATCTAGAAATTCAGGGAGGTGAGGGCTTTGCTTGCAGGCTGGTGGACTCAGGTCAGTAGAGGGAGGAATTCCAGGTTCTCATGAGATACCAAGGTGTGGACCCTGAGTGTGGATTGAAGGGATCACCTCTTATCTGTAACAAAGGGGGCCCCATAAGTCCTGCCTCTGTGGTTGGCACTGGGAGGCCTCGGGAAAGCTGTCTGGGAGAGTTCTGCCTGGAAAGTGTCAGGGAGGGAGGGAAGTACCTTGGTCTTAGGACTTAGTCGTCATTCTGCAGATGGTGGAGACCTAGGCCTTAACTGGAGTCAAGGTGAGAACTGTGAGGGCTAATAAGCGGACCTCTACCCAAAAGAGGGAGCCACACTGAGCTCTCATGAGATACCAAGGTGAGGACCCTGGTCCCCATAATTCCTGCCTCTGTGGTTGGCACTGGGAGGCCTCGGGAAAGCTGTCTGGGAGAGTTCTGCCTGGAAAGTGTCAGGGAGGGAGGGAAGTACCTTGGTCTTAGGACTTAGTCCTCATTCTGCAGATGGTGGAGACCTAGGCCTTAACTGGACTCAAGGTGAGAACTGTGAGGGCTAATAAGCGGACCTCTACCCAAAAGAGGTAGCCACACTGAGCAGTGCCCCTGCACTGGGCTCTAGGAGGTCTCAGGCAGAGTAGACAAATTTGGAGTAACCTCACTTCCCCTCTAAAGACTAAAGGATTTGAGGGCCATATTCAAGGCCCACATCTGCTGTCCAGCAATAAGAGGCTTAGGGTAGAGCTGACAGGCTGAGATGCCCTTATTTTTTCCAGAGGTCGTCTCAGGGAGGTGAAGGCCTTGGTCTAATGGGATAGGCCCAATTCATCAGAGGTACCCAGTCCCTAACAGGTTTTAAGGCTGTGACACTGAGTAATGATGAGGGCACCCCTCCCAGAAAGGAGGGGGCCACAGAGAGGCCCACCCCTATTGTCAGACCTGGACATGATGATTCGCACTTAGTTTTCCCAGGGCATCACATAGAAGTAAGAGACCAGGTCACAGGGAACAGCCTCAAGTCAACACGAAAAGAATTTCCAAGTTGTTCCAGATGTCATGGTGAGAACCCTGAGGACTGTGGGGACCTTCCACCCCATATCAGTGAGGGCCACACAGAATTCTCCCTACTGTCAGCCCTGGAAGACCCCAGGCAGATACGTCAGGCAGAGGTGCCCATCAGTTCCCACTCAGGGGTCACAGAGAAATGAAGGTCTTGGTCTGAGGATGATAGTCACACAACAACAGAGGGAAGAATCTAAGGCCCTCTCAGTAGTCGAATTTATTGATTTATTATTTATTATTCATTTATTTTTATTATGAATATTCATGAGATACAAAGCTCATTGTCACCCCTCGTGCCCGTGATGTGAGGGCCAGATTCCTACTGGCAACATACCCATTACCAGAAATTACGTTTGTACCCTGTGTCCCCCGCCCAATTATCCCCCAACCTCCCTCCCCCTCCTCCTTTCCCCCCACTCTACTTTGTAGCCCTAGGAATGACTCCTCCATCTGTAAGACCAATACACTACTGTGGTCTTTCTTTCCTTCTTTCTCTCTTAGCTCCCACATATGAGTGAGCACATGTGGTATTTATCCGTCTGTGCTTTGCTTATTTCACTCAACATAAGTTTCTCCAGGTTCCTGCATGTTGTTGCAAATGGGAGTATTTCATTACTTTTTATGGCAGAGTCGTATTCCATGGTGTATATATACCACAGTTTCCTTAGCCAGTCATCCATCGGTGGACATTTAGGATGGTTCCATGTCTTGGCTATTGTAAACAGAGCTGCGATGAACATGGGTGTGCAGGTATCCTTTCGACATGATGATTTCCATTCCTCTGGGTATATACACAGAAGCTGGATTGCTGGATTGTATGGAATATCTATCTGTAGTTGTTTGAGAAACATCCATATTGTTTTCCATAGTGTTTATATTAATTTACATTCCCAACAACAGTGTAGGAGTGTTCCGTTCTCTCCACACCCTCACCAGCAATTTTTATTCACCATCTTTTTGATTATAGCCAGTCTAACTGGAGTGACGTGGTATCTCAGTGTAGTTTTACTTTGCATTTCCCTGATGACTAGTGATGTTGAGCATTTTTTCAGGTATCTGTTGGCCATTTGTATGTCTTCCTTTGAAAAATGTCTCTTCAGCTCCTTTGCCTATTTTTTAATTGGGTTATTTGTTTTTTTACTGTATAATTGCTTGAGTTCTATGTATATTCTGGACATTAATCCCTTGTCAGATGCATAGTTAGCAAAAATTTTCTCCCACTCCGTAGGTTGTCTTTTCACTCTGTTGATTGTTTCCTTTGCTGTGCAGAAGCATTTTGGTTTGATGTAGTCCCATTTGTTTATTTTTTCTTTTGCTGCTTGTGCTTTAGGGCTCATGTTCATAAAGCCTGTGCCCAGACTTAGTTGCTGAAGTGTTTCATTAGTCAAATTTAAATACTGAGTTGGGACCCTATGTGAGACCAGTTATCAAAGAGCAATAACCTGCCTGTCACAGCTCTCATTCTTCGGAAGGCCACATTTGCTCAAATGAATTTGCATTTTCCTGATGACTAGTGATGTTGAGCACTTTTTCAGGTATCTGTTGGCCATTTGTATGTCTTCCTTTGAAAAATGTCTCTTCAACTCCTTTGCCTATTTTTTAATTGGGTTATTTGTTTTTTTTACTGTATAATTGCTTGAGTTCTATGTATATTCTGGACATTAATCCCTTGTCAGATGCATAGTTAGCAAAAATTTTCTCCCACTCTGTAGGTTGTCTTTTCACTCTGTTGATTGTTTCCTTTGCTGTACAGAAGCTTTTTGGTTTGATGTAGTCCCATTTGTTTACTTTTTCTTTTGCTGCTTGTGCTTTAGGGCTCATGTACATAAAGCCTGTGCCCAGACTTAGTTGCTGAAATGTTTCATTAGTCAAATTTAAATACTGAGTTGGGACCCTATGTGAGACCAGTTATCAAAGAGCAATAACCTTCCTGTCACAGCTCTCAGTCTTCGGAAGGCCACATTTGCTCAAATAAGGCCACTCTCACTTACTTCTGTTGGATCTCAGGAAGGTTGGCTCTTGCTATGAGGACACAGGCCTCAGATCAAGATAAAGGGGAGCTCCCCTGCTGGGAGCCAAATTAAGAAATCTGAGTGAGGACTCGAGGAACCCAGCACTGAATAAAGATGTCAAATAATCCATCTCAACCTTTTGTTTTTAGCCCTAAAATGCACAGGGAGGGCTGTCAGGTTGCGCATGCCCCTTATTTTTTTAAATCAGACCTAAGGGAGGTGAGATCCTTAGTCTAAAGGATCATAGTCAGAAGAAGTGGATGATGCCAAACCTTATGTTGAGCCAAAATGAGGTCC